GAGGTTGCGGTGAGCCGAGATCGCGCCATTGCACTCCAGCCTGGGTAACAAAAGAGAAACACCGGTCTTGGAAAAAAAAAAAAAGAAAAAGAAGAAAAAAAGAAGAAAAAGTAATTTCTGCTTGTCGATGTCAAATGATTTAAAATTTGACTTAATTTAATGTTTGTTTTTTGTTGCTATAAAGGTGAATATGCAGTTTGATATTATAAATAGAAAGAGCTTTTTTGTGTGTGTTCTATAAACATTCCTCCCTTAAATCCTCCTGTGGAAAAACATCCAGCTCTGTAGTCAGTGGCACTGCACCCTAGAAAAATGGTGAAGGGAAAGTCTTCAGGAGGATGGGACATTTCTGACCCCTTAGACTTTCCATCTGCTTAGTGGGTCACTTTGAAAAGTGAAAGGGAGGGAATCAGGTACCCCTTTCCCAACAACTAGTTTTCCATAGGTATATATGCATACACAGAGTGAGAGAATTTCAATAGGTATATAAATCTATATATGTCAGATATATATATATATACACACACACACATACATATCCCTGACTTTACATACAATGTATAGTTATCATAAATCAGGGACTTTTAAGATAAATATAATATTTAAATCTCTTTTGCTGACTTTTAATAACATGGGGAAAAAAAACCTGTGTTTCAAGATGTGAAATTGGAGACTGGTTTTCCATTTCTTCAGCTCCTAATAAGCACTAAGAAGCAATTTGCATCAATTCACCACCTACTCCTTGGCATCCCCAATCCCTCCAGCAGTTATTGCGAAGGTGGCTTCATTTTCAGGCATCTCAGGACTAACAGAATACAAGGGAACAGAAGTTTATAAAAAGCTCTATTTCTATAAATACTATATTCATGTCACAGGCATTATGCTCCCATCAGTCTGAGTCTCCAGAGACATCTCAGAGTTGCTACAACCAAATGTGGCCTACAGAACTTACCCACAAGTATTTTTAACCCTCACAAACATTCACTGAGCAACTTCTATATATGAAGTTTTGAATCTCAAGAAAAATTACCCCAAACTTGGAAACAGGCAAAAGGATAACTGAGTGTTCTTTTTTTTTTCTTTAAGATCGTTTTGCTCTTGTTGCCCAAGCTGGAGTGCAATGGTGTGATCCTGGCTCACTGCAACCTCCACCTCCTGGGTTCAAGCGATTCTCTTGCCTCAGCCTCCCAAGTAGCTGGGATTACAGGTGCGTGCCACCATGCCCAGCTAATTTTTTGCATTTTTTGTAGAAATGGGGTTTCACTGTGTTAGCCAGGCTGGTCTCGAATTCCTGACCTCAGGTGATCCACCCGCCTTGGCCTCCCAAATGCTGAGATTACAGGCATGAGCCACTGCGTCTGGCCTTGGGTATTCTTTTAGAATAGTGTCAGGCATTGTATAGCAGCCCTTTAGGGACTTATCTGATTCTATAGGGGTATGCACCTTTCTCATCACTAAACTAACATAGGAGCAAACTTTTTTTTTCTTTCAAAATTGGATGTCAACGTAGGAGCAAACTTTAAAAGACTTTGAAATAAATGAAAAGATTACATAGGTTGTCTAGCACATCTAGCAGGTTATCCAGTTCTATGAGGGTTGTATGCTTTCCATTGTCTTTGATCTATTTTATAACTCCTTAAGTTGTAGAAAACTATGAGTAATGCGAATTATTCTTGTCCAGAGAGATGTAAATCGTGTAAGGTGGAATGGAATGGATTATTTTCCTATAGATACTGACCCATTTTTGATCAATTTATATTTCATTTTGTTAGAGTAGGTAGTTAGGCAGACATGAGCAGGGTAGGAGAGCCCTGCACCCCACCAAGAATGTAATGCAACCATCAGGTGATGGTCAGGTGGTTGTTAAACTGTCTCTTTAATAGGCCAGGCACGGTGGCTCACGCCTGTAATCCCAGCACTTCCGGAGGCTGAGGTGGGTGGATCACTTCAGGTCAGAAGTTTGAGACCAGCCTGGCCAACATGGTGAAACCTCATCTTTACTAAAAATACAAAAAAATTAGCCAGGAGTAGTGGTGGTGTGCCTGTAGCCCCAGCTACTTGGGAGGCAGGAGAATCACTTGAACCCAGGAGATGGAGGTTGCAGTGAGCGGAGATTGAGTCACTGCACTCCAGCCTGGGCAAAGGAGCGAGACTCCATCTCAAAAAAAAAAAAA